AGGACAATGACAGAAACAAAAGGAATAGGGGAACAATAGCAGTCGGGAGCGAGAATAAGAGAAAAAGGAGTCAGGAGGTTTTTTGGAAATGCCCCCCAAATGTGAAGCTTTGTCCTCCGAACGAGCCGCCGCAGCTTGAACTGCTTTGAGGAGTCTATAAAGGACCTCTTAAATGCATTTCTCATTTTTGCTGGGGGTGGGTGGAAAAATTAAGTAAACGGATTATAGCTTAATGGAGCCTTCATAGATAGTATATTGGGAAGGCATCGGAAAGCTCCTTTTCAGATCAACAAATATTAAAGTTTATGTCTTTGAATAAAGTTTGCTAGTCTGAAAAGGCATTACCGGACTCCTGATTTCTGGCTACTGTGGACGAACACAGCTCTTCTCAGAGTTGCCCTACACTGAAAACTTTGAAAAACACTGCCCTACACCATAACTTTGGATATACTAGGTATCCGAGAGAGGAAGGACTCATTTATAAACTTTGCAGGTCCATCCACGCTGGTTGTCAGAATTCTGAACCTGACCAACCCCCAGGAAATCAAAATGACATCCTCAGTCACACGATTGAAGCCGTCATCTTGACTTTCTTGACCTCAGCAGACACCTCTGCATCTCAAACTTCTGAAAATAAGTTTAGCTTTCTCATTAGCATGTGTGAATATTTCAATGGGCATTTGACACATCAACCCAGCGACTCTGGAAACCATGACAAGTAGCTTCATACTCTGGGGTCCGTAGAGGAAACTGAGGTCGAGAAGGTAAGGTAGATTATTGTCTCAAGTCCATTAGGGGTAGAGATAAGATTTAGGCAAGCTCTGCAGCACAGAATGATGATGGTGTCCCATCAAGTCATTTTCTACTCCTACTGACCACATAGATAGATGTTCTCCATGATGATCTATCCCTGACCTGGTCCAAGTCTTCCAAAGATGCACTCATCGCCACTGTAACTGAGTCCCTCCACCTGGCTGCTGGTTGTCTTCTTCTTCAGCACACTAACCAGGTCATTTAGGACAAACTAGGCTAGTTACACAGCAGCGACCAAACCATTTTAGTTGTGCAGTGACTGTGTTTGCACAACTCTCATAACCCGGCTATTGAATTCACTCCTTTTCTGGATTACCACAATCCATTCAATGAGCAGCTAATCATACGGTCTGGATGGAGCAATCGGTTAAACCATAAACAAACTTTAAAACTTCACAAGCTTTGCCTGTTGTGCACGTGTAACTATCTGATCTTTCACCAACCTGGCTAAGTATGTTGTACAAGCACAGCTGCTGGGGATGTATGACAGAAAGAGAATTATCTATCCACAATCATTTTAGTCTTTCCCAAAACAACTCCAATGCAATGCTAATTAGTCAAACATAAGACTTAGGAGACCCTAATCACCAATTTTGGGCCTTTGAGTCTACTTTGGCCCTGAAAGGTGCTGTTCAATTTGTTCTGGTGTATTGTGAGAGATAAGAGAAATATCTGGGAAATTAGAAGGAGGAGAAACTCAAGGTTTAAATACCAGATGAAGATTAACTAAAGACACAGTAGATTCTTCCGCCATAGTACTTATCTCTGCTGTTCTCACTTCTGGATTACTTCAAGTAAGACTGATTAAAAACTAGCAAATCAGACAGTGGTCCACAAAATCTTACACTGTAGGAAATGGGCCATGAAATTATGCTGCATCAGACTTTAACACAGATTGCTTTCTGAAATTTAACTGCTGTGCTGTTTCCTTTTTACAAACAGCCCAGTTCCATATATCCAGAATATACTTCCAAAAACAGGATAAGGGTATTTTTGGATGGTGGTGGTGGTGGCCTGGAGGTTTTTTAATGATTAAGATACATCATGAAACTTCAGCCAACACACTGTCAACTTCAGTCAACCACTTTCTGAATACTCTTCTATCTGAAACAGTGTTTTTCAACCTTGGCAGCTTTAAAAGCTGTGC